TTAAATAATTCACGATTGCGTTTTTCCTACCTTAATTTGCGTATCTAGTCGAATCGTGGGGAATTTTTCACGTAATTAAATTACGATGTTTGCATTCTTTATGAAAATGAGAGGCGCGCATTATTCATAATCCATTTTCGGTTGAAATTTCGTCGCGCCGCGAAAGTGGCTGATAATGAGTAACTTTGATTAATTTCACAGTTGTTTCTCGGCAAAATGGATTATCTACGGTGGCAATCTCCACGTCATATTATTATACTCTCTCCCCATACAAATCGGATTAAGTAAGGAATGGAAATGTAAGATAAGTTTGAAAAGTAAAGAGTTATGACAGTATTACTGTTTGAGATCAAAATCTAATTTGAGTTGGCTTAATTCAATCCACACAATGTAAACTTTTTGCGTGTACCAACTTTGCTCTTATGCTAATTTGGAAAATCGGTTAGTTCAGAACAAATTGGAAGATTTAGGATTAGGACCCACTGAACTTGTAACTTAGTAATGTGTCTATTTTATTTGACACTGTTGCACAAGACTACGTTTGTGACACAACTGCACCGTTTCAAGTGTATGCCCTTTGGCCTTAAAAATGCGTCCGCTACCTTTCAGAGGCTAATACTGCTTCCGCGCCGATTTTACCCAAGTTAACGTACTCGCGCACCTGGACGACATAATTGTCCTCTCCTCAGACGTGGAGAAATACATGTAAGGCCTTAAACAAGTGTTTACGTGACTCGAATAATTTAAACTTTGAATCCAGAGGCACCTTGGTACCTTGGACATTTCATAACCCCCGCGACGAAGTGGGGTAGCTCTCGCACAATTGGTGAGCTTCAGAAATTAAATAACAATTAGTGAAATAATAATTGAAAATCTTGCGCCTGGACGAAGTCAGTCAGTCAGTCATTAGTTAGGCGCGTGCAATACTCATTAATCCAATTAACACCTAGCCCTAATTGGAATTTTCCCAGCACAGCAACTGTTGTACTCATCTACACACATGCACGCTGAAAGACTGCTGACATGTAAATACTTCCATTTGGAATTCGTTTATAGCCTTCTTTTCATTTACTATTGCAAACTAAAATGATTAATAATTAATTGACGGCGCTGAAATCGCAAAATATTAATTCATCTTCATGTTCTGTAGCAAGGAAACTTTCGGGGGCTGTAAAAACAATTTAAATACTTCTACGGTTCAAATTCACTACTCCACCGCACTGGAAGCACGATAACCAGAGCACCATACTTCGTCTCCAATATTCCCACTTATTTTTCCCTATGTCTACTTCTAATAGACAAAATCGCTTCTGATGGACGCCTAATTTTTTGCACCTGAAATAACTTTTTATACAAATAAACATCTAACTGTTTGAATATTGCTGTTGTGTTAAATTATTCATATGTGTGAAATTTTGATACATAATCACGCATGCTAAAATCACTTTATTTAATTGTTTCCATAGAGATTTCAAAATAATTAAAACAATCAGTGTCATTTTTAATGCAGTTTGCAGTTTATGCTTTGTACTTTTCAACTATACAATCTTTATTGTAGTAACTAGGTACAAAAGCAAGTATCAGTGAAGAAGAGTACCTCCGCAATGTAGCCGAAGCTGCGGCCGCCGTAGTGCAATATTCGCTCCCTACAAAGTCAAGAAAGAGGTACTAAAAGGCGTATAAACCTTTTACTGACTGGCGCAAAATTAAAAGAATAATTACCTCCACACATATTCCATTAATTGCTAGTAATTAAAAAACAGTTATCATTTGTGTAGGTATATTAATATTTAAAAATATCCACATGGTCTGCATTATATAATTATCTAATCGTTGATTGAATAACTTATACAATGAACGATCTAATTGTTATTTTGCATGTACTAGGACTGTAATGGGAGTCAGGCAAAAATATTACACTACTAGTCAGGTAAAGATCAACTTTCTAATGTCAAAATAGCCCTGAAATATAGATTTTCTTGACGGTTTCAGGTAAAATAAATCTTTTACGCTCCTTAAACTGTTTCCGACACTATATCAGTTGACAATATCAACTTCTTCTTCTGTTGAATACATCGCACACGAACGAAGTTAAAAATACGGAACCCAAAGCAACAATATTCAAATTAATTAATGTGACAGCCAGATTTTTATTTGTTTCAAGCTTGTTATTTTGGTTTCATAAAATTAGACGCCCTTCAGGAGAGATTTTGTCATTTAAAAGCAGAGCTGGGCAGTATTCGATTTTGTAAATACTTTTTAGTATTCAAATCCTTTAAAGTATTCAAATACTTTGTAATTAAATACTTTTATGGAAGCAGTATTTGTTTTTGTAACTCAAATACTTTCACAAATATTTAGTATTCGAATACTTCGCAAAGTATTTGGATACTTCGTAAAGTATTCGAATACTGCGCAAGGTATTTGAATACTACCTACCTTCCTTTTTTTACCAAAAATCGACTACTCCAAAATTTCTCGGGAAAACACTTTTTCTTATTAATTTTGGTGCGTAGAATCCAAAACAATTCGTACTTTTTCGATGAGACTTCTCAATCAAAAGTTATAGACTAGAAACCAATTTCGAAAGAAAATTCAAAGGGCTGTAACTTTTGAACTAGTAGCCCAATCTTGAAACTGTTTGAAATTATGGATTCTACAGGCCACATTCTATAAGAAACATTTTTTTCCGGGTCGATCTGAGACATTTTTTTTGAGGGCCTCAAAAAAAGACAGTGTGTAACTTTCCTTTTTTACCAAACATCGACTGTACCAAAATTTCTCGGAAAAACACTTTTTCTTATTAATTTTGGTGCGTAGAATCCAAAACAATTCGTACTTTTTCGATCAGACTTCTCAATCAAAAGTTATAGACTAGAAACCAATTCCGAAAGAAAATTCAAAGGGCTGTAACTTTTGAACTAGTAGCCCAATCTTGGAACTGTTTGAAATTATGGATTCTACAGGCCACATTCCATAAGAAAATTTTTTTTCGGGTCGATCTGAGACAATTTTTTTTTCGGGGCTCAAAAAAAGGCAGTGTATAACCTTCCTTTTTTACCAAAAATCGACTGCACCAAAAATTCTCGGGAAAACACTTTTTCTTATTAATTTTGGTGCGTAGAATCCAAAACAATTCGTACTTTTTCGATTAGACTTCTCAATCAAAAGTTATAAACTAGAAACCAATTTCGAAAGAAAATTCAAAGGGCTGTAACTTTTGAACTAGTACCCCAATCTTGGAACTGTTCCAAATTATGGATTCTACAGGCCACATTCTATAAGAAAAGTTTTTTTCCGGGGCGATCTGAGACAATTTTTTTTGAGGGCCTCAAAAAAATGCAGTGTATAACCTTCCTTTTTTACCAAAAATCGACTGCACCAAAATTTCTCGGGAAAACACTTTTTCTTATTAATTTTGGTGCGTAGAATCCACAACAATTCGTACTTTTTCGATTAGACTTCTCAATCAAAAGTTATGGACTAGAAACCAATTTCGAAAGAAAATTCAAAGGGCTGTAACTTTTGAACTAGTACCCCAATCTTGGAACTGTTTGAAATTATGGATTCTACAGGCCACATTCTATAAGAAAATTTTTTTTCCGGGTCGATCTGAGACAATTTTTTTCGGGGCTCAAAAAAAGGCAGTGTATAACCTTCCTTTTTTACCAAAAATCGACTACACCAAAATTTCTCGGGAAAACACTTTTTTTTATTAATTTGGGTGCGTAGAATCCAAATCAATTCGTACTTTTTCGATCAGACTTCTCAATCAAAAGTTATAGACTAGAAACCAATTTCGAAAAAAATTTCAAAGGGCTGTAACTTTTGAACTAGTAGCCCAATCTTGGAACTGTTTGAAATTATGGATTCTACAGGCCACATTCTATAAGAAATTTTATTTTTAAATTTTTAATATATTTGAGTGACAAGTATTTGAATACTTTTTATAGTATTCGAATACCTTTGATAGTATTCGAATACTTTTGAAAGTATTCGAATACATTCTATAGTAATTGAATACTTTTCAATGTATCTGTATCTAGTATTCGCTTGTGCTGGACGTAAAAGTATTTAGTATTCAAATACTTTTTTTAAGTATTCTGCCCAGCTCTGTTTAAAAGTAGGCATAGGGAAAAACAATACACATAAATCCCTATGTCTACTTTTTAATGAATAGCACTGTATATTAGTTTAGTGTACATAGATAAGTTCTTACTTTGAATAAAATAACGTACCAAAACAATTCCAACAAAACAAGATTTCGTTTACGTAAGACCAAAATACTAAACCGAAGAAAAGGCGAAATAGTACAAAATGCGATTCGAACGCCAAATCGGCTACTTCCGAAACTAATCAGCACTTAGCTTTATTGTCTATAAGGACGCCGAAAATGTCACCACCCATAAACCGAAATTACTCCCTGTATCGCGGTTTAATGTAATTTTTCAGGTCAGAGGTTGCCTCGTTTTCGGATACGACGGCCGTTACATGAAAAACGAATATGATTGATTAATGATCGAAGGAAACGTATACGTGTAGCGCCGGCCGTAAAAATAAAACTCAATTCGTCAACAGACTTATCAATTTTTGATGATTAATGTTGCAAGAGCAACGCATTGAGCTATTAAATATTATTACGGGCGACGGAAATAAAAATGTCAAGCGCAGGGAATAGGAGAGAAAAAAATCAATTTGACACTACTTTCGGGTGTAATGTTTCAAAGAGATTTTTCCCGTTGTATCCGCGCGTATGCGAGATCGATTTTGTAATTTCAATAGGGGGTGTTTGCCCTTTGTGCTCCTCCGTATTCTATCAATCCGTGCTCAAATTCCAGTAAACTGGAGTTATAAAAAATGCACAACCCTCTCTCCTACTTGTCTTTTATGTCCTGGGGAATTTTCCTTTTCGAATGGGGTAAATACAACAACGGCACGTACGATCAACGACTTTTATTTAACCCAAGTTTATTGCCCTTGATACTAAAATTTGTTTTTTTCGTTGCAGATCTGCCGGTGCTGTTTTACAAAAAGATGTCGAGGGAGATATTCTGCTGAGGTTGTTTTTACCTAATTTGGGTAAGTGTGTTAATTAATGTTTGTGGAGCGCTGCACGGTGTCTGTTGCGCAAACTGTAATGGATACGGTTTCTGGATGAATGGACCGCTTTCATTGGGCATTACGCGCAACGTTTATCTTTTTGTTTGCTCACAATGAGCTCTGGGGAACGTAGACGTACGAGCGAGCATTTACCCCATTATGATCCAAATTTATTATTAAGTAGTACAATAACACATTATAGGGTTACAGTAAACATCAAATGTACCCTTTAGGCAAGTAATTCTCTGTGGCTAATATTCTCATTGATAAAACTCAAGGTACGCCATTGTGACAAACTTTTTCAAAATGCTAACGTTGACGTTATACAATTAGATATGTGAGATGAAGCAATTTGGAACACTCCAGAATTTCCTGAGCACAAATCCCCCCCAGACACGTGTATCCGTGAGAAGGTAGCCAACAATAAATAATGTTACATATTTATAAAGCACGGGCAATATCCAATGTGCCTCATTTTCAGAAATAATTGCATATACAGGGTGTTCATTTCAAAATTTCCCACCCCCAATATCTCGATATCGGTGTATTTTCTAAGAAAATCCTGGGGAAACGTTTTAATAAAAAATTGATTCACCCCCTTTGCCCCCCGGAGAACCACCTTAACAATTTTAAATGAGAAAAATAACTCATTTTAAAGGTCTTTTTTCATTCGACTTGTTTATAAGTTTTATTTTTTAAAATCAATCGATCCATTGTTGTAGTAGGGAATGCAATTCCGCAGCAAAATCTCAATCCCGGTATTTGCGGGATCGCTAGATGTTAATCCCGCGGGATCCCGGCATTTGCGGGATCCCGCAAAACTTCTCCGTTATGCGTTTCATTAACAAAGTAAACAGAGTCGTCCACTTCGTCGACAAATTCCTCAGTCCCGCAAATCCCGCGGGATCCCGCTCCATTTATGTGCGGGGTCCCGGTATTGCCTAAATGTGGCCTGTAGAATCCATAATTTCAAACAGTTCCAAGATTGGGCTACTAGTTCAAAAGTTACAGCTCTTTGAATTTTTTTTCGAAATTGGTTTCTAGTCTATAACTTTTGATTGAGAAGTCTAATCGAAAAAGTACGAATTGATTTGGATTCTACGCACCCAAATTAATAGAAAAAGTGTTTTCCCGAGAAATTTTGGTGTAGTCGATTTTTGGTAAAAAAGGAAGGTTATACACTGCCTTTTTTTGAGCCCAGAAGAAAAAAAATTGTCTCAGATCGACCCGGAAAAAAATTTTCTTATAGAATGTGGCCTGTAGAAACCATAATTTCAAACAATTCCAAGATTGGGCTGCTAGTTCAAAAGTTACAGCCCTTTGAATTTTCTTTCGAAATTGGTTTCTAGTCTATAACTTTTGATTGAGAAGTCTGATCGAAAAAGTACGAATTGTTTTGGATTCTACGCACCAAAATTAATAAGAAAAAGTGTTTTCCCGAGAAATTTTGGTGCAGTCGATTTTTGGTAAAAAAGGAAGGTTATACACTGCCTTTTTTTGAGCCCCGAAAAAAAATTGTCTCAGATCGATCCGGAAAAAAATTTTCTTATAGAATGTGGCCTGTAGAATCCATAATTTCAAACATTTCCAAGATTGGGCTACTAGTTCAGAAGTTACAGCCCTTTGAATTTTTTTTCGAAAGTGGTTTCTAGTCTATAAATTTTGAATGAGAAGTCTGATCGAAAAAGTACGAATTGTTTTGGATTCTACGCACCAAAATTACTAAGAAAAAGTGATTGCCCGAGAAATTTTGGTGCAGTCGATTTTTGGTAAAAAAGGAAGGTTATACACTGCCTTTTTTTGAGCACCGAGAAAAAAATTGTCTCAGATCGATCCGGAAAAAGATTTTCTTATAGAATGTGGTCTGTAGAATCCATAATTTCAAACAGTTCCAAGATTGGGCTACTAGTTCAAACGTTACAGCCCTTTGAATTTTTTTTCGAAATTGGTTTCTAGTCTATAACTTTTGAATGAGAAGTCTGATCGAAAAAGTACGAATTGTTTTGGATTCTACGCACCAAAATTAATAAGAAAAAGTGTTTTCCCGAGAAATTTTGGTGCAGTCGATTTTTGTTAAAAAAGGAAGGTTATACACTGCCTTTTTTTGCGCACCGAGAAAAAAATTGTCTCAGATCGATCCGGAAAAAGATTTTCTTATAGAATGTGGTCTGTAGAATCCATAATTTCAAACAGTTCCAAGATTGGGCTACTAGTTCAAAAGTTACAGCCCTTTGAATTTTTTTTCGAAATTGGTTTCTAGTCTATAACTTTTGATTGAGAAGTCTGATCGAAAAAGTACGAATTGATTTGGATTCTACGCACCAAAATTAATAAGAAAAAGTGTTTTCCCGAGAAATTTTGGTGTAGTCGATTTTTGGTAAAAAAGGAAGGTTATACACTGCCTTTTTTTGAGCCCCGAAAAAAAAATTGTCTCAGATCGACCCGGAAAAAAATTTTCTTATAGAATGTGGCCTGTAGAATCCATAATTTCAAACAGTTCCAAGATTGGGCTACTAGTTCAAAAGTTACAGCCCTTTGAATTTTTTTTCGAAATTGGTTTCTAGTCTATAACTTTTGATTGAGAAGTCTGATCGAAAAAGTACGAATTGTTTTGGATTCTACGCACCAAAATTAATAAGAAAAAGTGTTTTCCCGAGAAATTTTGGTGTAGTCGATTTTTGGTAAAAAAGGAAGGTTATACACTGCCTTTTTTTGAGGCCCGAAAAAAAATTGTCTCATATCGACCCGGAAAAAAATTTTCTTATAGAATGTGGCCTGTAGAATCCATAATTTCCAACAGTTCCAAGATTGGGCTACTAGTTCAAAAGTTACAGCCCTTTGAATTTTCTTTTCGAAATTGGTTTCTAGTCTATAACTTTTGATTGAGAAGTCTGATCGAAAAAGTACGAATTGTTTTGGATTCTACGCACCAAAATTAATAAGAAAAAGTGTTTTCCCGAGAAATTTTGGTGCAGTCTATTTTTCGTAAAAAAGGAAGGTTATACACTGCCTTTTTTTGAGCCCCGGGAAAAAAATTGTCTCAGATCGATCCGGAAAAAAAATTCTTATAGAATGTGACTAGGGAATGCAATCCCGCAGCAAAATCTCAATCCCGGTATTTGCGGGATTGCTAGATGTTAATCCCGCGGGATCCCGGTATTTGCGGGATCCCGCAAAACTTTAAATAAATTGGCAACTAAGCAATTCTGTGCGGTTAACTTCTGCATTAAAATAAGTCGCTAATTATCACAATATTTAACAAAAAAGTACCTTCGGCCTAACTTAGAACTCAAAAAAACCTCACCTGTAAAGCACAAAAAGGTGAACTTCTAAAGTGCCTCAAAAATCATAGTAAATTTTTAACGAAAAAAGTTTAACAATTATATAAAAAATAACTTCTCCGTTATGCGTTTCATTAACAAAGTAAACAGAGTCGTCCCCTTGGTCAACAAATTCCTCAGTCCCGCAAATCCCGCGGGATCCCGCTCCATTTATGTGCGGGTTTAATCCCGAAAAATTCTGCGGGATCCCGGTATTTCGGGATCCCGCGATCCCGGTATTGCATTCCCTAATATTTAGAAAAGCAATTTCTCCGAAACGAAACGTTGTATACAAAATCTCTGAACGTTGTCTTGTGGAAATTAATAGTGACAAAGAAAAGTAGTGTTTTTAATTTGGTTGTATCTGTTCAAATTACATCGGGAAAAAATAAAAACGAAATCGGTAAATTTCGGTTTTTTTTGGCATATCTTCAGAAAAAATCGGAATTTTCTGATTTTCGTTAAAGCATGATAACTCTTTAATTATGCATATTTTCTGTAATTTGACCATCGCTTTCGGAGAGCCCCGTGATAGACGCTAAACATCCTTATCTTGGACACACTGTATAAGGGTACTAACATGTTACTTCATCTAAAAGAACCTACTAAAAGGGTACATTGCTATTTACAAAAATTCAGTTGTTTTCTTTTACTCATTTGTTTTCTGAGATAAAGACTGAACTGAATGCTCCCTTATTAACGAGCGACCCAGGTTGTTCATGATTTTGGACTGGCTGACGATAGAAACATGCCATTCCAAAATTTTGAAAAATATGATATAATATATAGTTATGTAAATAAAATATAGGTGGTCAATTACAATATTTGAAATGTTTAGTGCCCAAACACCCCTAAACTGGATCGTACTTCGAATAGAAAATACGAGTATGCTTAAAAATATTTCTGAAGAAAGAAACCCTAATTTTAACTAATTTAGAGAGAGTTATTTAATGGTTTATAATATGTACTTGCTCAAGATTTGATTTATTTAGTATCAAAATATTCCCATTTTTGAGATCTACATAAGTATACGGGGTCGAGTATAAAAGTTATCGCACTTAACTTAATTTTTGTAAATGAAGCACCTTATATTTTTTAATCTAAAATGATAGCATATCGAATTCTCTATTCAAAAATATACACGGTGCCCATGACGCCTATATTATTTTTAGGACCGCACCACCCTGTACGTCTCCGCTACGTATATCTAAGGAAAATGACCAAGTTTGAAAATTATTTCCAAAAAATGTAGCCTATGTGTGCCGATGTCATTTTAACGTTGTATAAGGGTTGATATGTGTACAGGGTGGTTCAAATTCGTGGGGATTTCCGTAATTGTGATTTTCAAAAATTTTCATGAGATCTAATAGGAGATGATCCAGTAATCCAAGGTTGGACGACTCAAAGGATAGTTTTAGTCAATGTACAGCTAAGGTAAAGACGGATTCTTTTAAGGATTTTGACGAGTGAGAATTTTGACGTTTAAACAGCAAGTAAACATATTCTTTAAAGACTCGCTCTATCCATTTTTTTAACCGGCATTTCCCTCGTTCTCCGTGATCAACCTTGAACCTTGAAAACAAATTCGGAATTTTCCTAATTCTTTTTGAGGGAGCTATTTTATTCCGAACTCGCCTTCATCTCGCTCGGCATTCGTGA